AAGAATAGCCACAAATACGTTAGTTTTTTTTAATAAGAATGCATAGCATTAAGTAAGTGGTAAATACTCATTTAGCTATGATACGAGAACTAAATAGATAAATAGCTATGTTACACTGTTATTAAGTTCTAGTGAGCTCACTAATATAGACGGGAACATAGACTGATGTTATTTTAAAAAATTTTAGTCCGCTCAGAAGGTCTGTCATTCTCATCAGGGGCACAGTAAACAGACCTGGAAAGAGAGTCAGCGCCGAAAGGGTAAAGCCAACTTGGTCCGGAGAAAACTTCAACTAAATAACCCGAACGCGCGCGTTAATAAAGCAGAAAAAAATACACTTAACCGTGGATGAAATCTTGTTTTTGGACTCTCTTTCCGCACGTTTCAAACCGTGGTACCACAGCTGGCCCCACGTGCTTGAGTTGACTACCATCAATCTACGTTTAAAAATAGTTATTTTTACCGTACAAGTCCTGAACTTCCAACTTTCTTGGTTGTTTCAAACTTGAAAGGCAGCTGCTCGTTTCCTGACCATATTTCAAAAATCTGCTTTCGATATGATAATGTCTGTGGAAATATAAGAGATCATAACAATTGCAGGCGATGCCTCAGCAAGGTACCAACAGTTTTCTTTCCAAAACGAATTAGAAATAAAGTTTCAAATGCGTCTAACTCACCGCAGCTTGAATAAAAACAACTGGTAGGATGACTGCACTTTGTTTTCTTCACTCGATGGCTTACATCATTTCATATCACGCGCAATTTCTTCAAATGTTAACCGGCAACCGCCGTGAACTTTCGCGCGCAACTTGAAGGAGTTACGTCACAGTAATCCTAGTGTCCAAGTGAGGCCTTTTTCTCACTAGTTCGGTTTTCTTATTCCAAAGAAGATATAGAATTAAATTACATAAAGATTATGTCTTTAAAAAAAGTACAGCATTGTTTTAGTTAACCATTTCCATTATGGGCTAAGCCAACATACATAAATAAATAAATAAATGTGATGAAGGTGACATACAAACACACAAACAATTATTTAAATAACAATAATAATGAGTTATGACGGGGTTTTACAACCATGATACCCCGCCCATAAACATCCCTATCTGATTTTACAAGCAACCAAAAGGATGCCTGTCGCACGAGTACAATGACCCTCTACAGCGGTGAGCAAGCTGACAGATCTGGCGCACAGCGGGCAGTTTAAGGGAAAGACATGGTTGCCATATACCAGAATAGCAGTATATGGCAACCATGTCTTTCCCTTAAACTGCCCGCTTATTCTGCTTTATTAACGCGCGCGTTCGGGTTATTTAGTTGAAGTTTTCTCCGGACCAAGTTGGCTTTACCCTTTCGGCGCTGACTCTCTTTCCAGGTCTGTTCACTGTGCCCCTGATGAGAATGACAGACCTTCTGAGCGGACTAAATTTTTTAAAATAACATCAGTCTATGTTCCCGTCTATATTAGTGAGCTCACTAGAACTTAATAACAGTGTAACATAGCTATTTATCTATTTAGTTCACGTACCATAGCTAAATGAGTATTTACCACTTACTTAATGCTATGCATTCTTATTAAAAAATAACTAACGTATTTGTGGCTATTCTTCCCGCAGCTGCATGTAGTTTACGCTCAATGAACTGATGTGTAGTCATTGAACTACTGGTGGGGTTATTGATCTGCTGTGTCGTTATTGAACTAACAAAAAGGAAAACTGCACAAATTCACCAGTCGTCTCCATACACAGCGAACTTCGCCACTGAGGTAAGCATTCCTAACCCTTCAATCTCTGCATTTATCCTAACTAAAAACACCCAGTATGTAGATACCTTACGAGGAAAAAACAAACCAAATTTCACTCACCCTTATTACTATAGACTATCGCAATGGACACTCCAGAACGCCTAAAAGTAAAACGGCCAAGAGTAGAGGTATGTAGTAGTATTTTTCAATCAAAAGACATCCTTAAGTGACAAAAAGGCACGTAGGGCTCAGCCAAATGGTACCATAATGGCGTCGAAACGTGTGGAAACAGGCTCTTTCTCCGAAACCCGCCCCATTCCCCATCGGTTTTATTATATTCTGCTAACCTTCCCCTCCCTGACCTGTTTCCTTGATTGCCTTCTGAGCTCCTGATGAGACAAGGCTTTCAACCTTATATTTTGATAGAATGTTTTTCGTTTTTAACGATGAGCTCATCATATTTATACCTGGGTAACATAAGATAACAATAGTAGACATATTATCATAGGTAGGTCACTCATTTTTACAGCTATCACCAGAGGAAGAAAAAGAAATTAGATCATGCCTGGCGGCCATCGAAATGGAAGAGAAAAGAAAAGAAATCGAGGGAAAAGAGAATAAATTGAGGATAAGGGAAGAAGAATTAAAACTAAAAGAAAGAGAAAGCGAATTAGAGAAAAAGGAAAAAGAGTTAAAGGAGAAAGAAGAGAAATTTAAAGAAAAAGCAAATGAGTTAAAGAAAACCACAATGGAAGCCAAACGGGTGGCTGCCCGGCTCCAATTTATGGCCGGGCAGCTTGACCGTTTGGCAAACCACGTGCTTTCAGAAATGTCAAAATGAAGAATTAATAATGTCGGACATTAAAGAAATTTTAAGACAGTCAGGTGTAAGTTGATTTATTGGATAATTATTTGTCAGAATTTCACTACAACAATAAAAAATTTTTTCTGTGTAATGATTTGTATATTTTATCTCTAAGAGAAATTTCGCACATCTTATAAGACCAACATATACTTTCCCAAAAAAATACAAAGCCCAAGTGTTGTATATTTTGTGCTGTAGTAAATAAGCAATTCGTATAATCTCCTGTGAAGGAAAAGTTATCCTCTTATTGCAAGGTATGTGCCCCATCGCTGTCGTCCTCCACTTCCTCTGTTACCCCTGTCTTTAATCAATCGCTCCTCTCTCTATCTATCACTCAGATCTTGGTCCATAAATCTCCTTTCCTATAACAGCAATCCTATACCATGAAGCATTGGTTTTTCCTCAGCATCCCTCTTGTTCCCCTTTTTTTGCACAGGCAGCCTGATTAAAATCAGTAAATAATGTTATTATAGGTCCTTAATACATATTTCCCCTTATTCTCCTAAGTTACAAGTTAACAAATAATGCATCCCTGTAATTCCCTCTTTTTTGCTGAGGCAACTGAATTAAAATCAAAAATAATGTTATTAAAAGTTCTTATTACCCAGTTCCCTTAAATCCCCTAAATTTAAAAGTTAACGAATATTGCCACCCTGTTCCCCATCCCCCAAAAAATAAACTCCTTGTAACCGAGCAGTCTAAGATCATAAAATATAATAAACCCCTTAAAACCAAGCCGTGTAAGCAATCTAAAATTGGTTTCTATTCATGCCAAAACAATAACAAGGGTGCGTAATGAATACTGCAATGAACCACCGTACAGTCTTGCGGCAACAGAGGTTTTGCTAAGCTACACCTGTTGTTGGCTACCTCATGCCTCCTGGGCAGATACCACAAAACTACACAAGCAGGATGACGGAGCACTGTAAACAAGCCCCCCGAAAAATGATGCACTGAACTGTACATTAAAATTACAAAAGCAGGATGTTGGAGTGTTATAAACAAGCCCCTCGCAACATGGTGAACTGAACTGAACTGTACTTTGTCACTTAGCTGTTGTTCTTGTTATTATTAATGTTATAAGTTTACACATGAGCTCCTGAAGACCCCCTCAGGTAAAAAAAAAAACAAAAAAAACAATAATTATTATAGTAATAATAATAATAATTAATAAATAATTTAAGTTAGATATTATTATTATCATTAGTAAGCGCATATCCATTAAAATCCCCTTCTCCTGCCTTTAAGCATCTGCGATACAAATAAAGATATATTTATAGTTGTGACATTTTCTGAACTCATGCAGTCGTTCGTGAACTTAAGTGTATTTTATGAACTGTGTTGTCTTCACTGAACTATATTGTCTTTATTGAACTATAAAAATAAGACAAGCCCGAACCTTTTTGCAAGGTTTTTGGTTGCGTTTTTGAATTGTGATTTTATGAAGGAACGATTTATCCGATTTCTCTAATTTTTGGCATCCTAACGGTAGAATGGTAGAACTACAAGAAAATAGTACTGATTTCCTTTCTTGTAGGTATAAAAACGTTTGAAATATTGGCATATATTTAAAACTGCATTTTTAGAAAAAATGTGAATAATTTAAAAAAACCCACGACAGATTTTTTGCTAACTTCAGCAACAACCTACCTAGCGAAATATCCAGCCTTGACTTTCTGTCAAAATTTTAAATGCCATGTGAAAACATATCTTTTTAAACAAGCTTTTAATTTGTAGTGGTGTATTTGTTTCGTTTATTTTATTATTTATCAATTATTGTTATTTTGTTTCATTTTTAAATCTTTCTACTTGCTTGTACATTTTATTCCTTTTGTAGTCTTTCTTTTCAACTTATTGTAAAGCGCATTTGATCATGTCCCACGGAAAGTTGCGCTATGTAAGTTTCAATTATTAATTATTATTATTATTAATTAATTAATGTTAAAGTTGACGCACAATTCTTTTAAATACGTAGTGGAACAGTGCTGACTGTGACTATCTCCTTTCCTAAAGGGTATTCTTACCCAAAGTTTTACTGTAAGAAACTAAGTAATCATAAATCTACGGCGAATACATGTAGTTAGCACTACAAGAAGATCACTTTTCTGATGCACGCGGGTGAGATTAAAGAAGCTTTATTAAGGTGTACCTGAAAAACTTGTTGATCTGTACAACAACACACTGCGTCTCCTTTTGGATCGTCATGCTCCGATCACGTAAGGGAAAGTCTTATTTCGATCCAATGTTTCTTGGATTAATAGAGATATCATCGAAGCTAAACGTAGGAAAGCAGGGAGAAATGGAGAGTTACGAGATGTCAGTCCGACCTTGTTCTGTTCAAGAAAAGTAGGTCAGCTAAAATCCGGAATTAAGATTTTGGCTGACTGCAAGATTTTGGTAAGCCAAAATCATGAATTCTAGATTTAGGAAAGCCAAAATCCTGAATTCAAGATTTTGGAAAGCCAAAATCTTGACTTCTGGATTTTGGAAAGCCAAAATCTTGAATTGAGGATTTTGGCTTACCAAAATCTTACAGTCAGCCAAAATCCAGAAATCAAGATACGAGATTTTGGCTAAACTTACGAGTTTGGAAAGCAAAAATCCTGAATTCAAGATTTTGGCTGCTTTTAATATTTTGAAGAGCGAAAATCCTGAATGCAAGATTTTGGCTGACTCTAAGATTTTGGTAAGCCAAAACTCTGAATTCAAAATTTCGCTGACTTCATGATTTTCGAGAATTTCAAAATTTCAGAATTCATGATTTTTCCTGATTGGGAGATTTTGGTAATGCAAGATTCTGAATTCAAGATTTTGGCTCATTTTAATTTTTTGGAGAGCGCAATTTAAATGTCAAGATTTTAGCTGACTTCAAGATTTTGGTAAGCCAAAATCCTGAATTCAAGATTTTGGAATTCCAAAATCCTGAATTTAAAATTTTGGCTGGCTTCAAAGTTTTGGAGAGCCAAAATCCTGAATTCTAGATTTTGGCTAAATTCAAGACTTTGGAAAGGAAACATCCAGCAGAATTCAAGATTTCGGAGGGCCAAAATCCTGAATTCTAGATTTTTGAAAGAAAAAACGCTGAATTCAAGATTTTGGAAAGGAAACATCCTGCAGAGTTGAAGATTTTGGAGGGCCAAAATCCTGAATTCTAGATTTTGGAAAGAAAAAACGCTGAATTCAAGATAACTTGTCTGACTTCAAGATTACGGTAAGCCAAAATCCTGAACTCAAGATTTTGGCTAAATTCAAGAATTGGGAAAGGAAACATCCTGCAGAATTCAAGATTTTGGAGGGCCAAAATCCTGAACTCTAGATTTTGGAAAGAAAAAACGCTGAATTCAAGATAATTTGGCTGACTTCAAGATTATGATAAGCCAAACTCCTGAATTCAAAATTTTGGCTGACTTCAAGATTTTGGAAAGCCAAAATCCTGAATTCAAGAGTTTTGCCTTCTTCAAGATTTTAGAAAGCAAAAACCCTGAATTTAAGATTTTGGCTGACTTCAAGGTTTTGTTCAGAAAAAATCCTCAACGCAAACTTTGGGCTAAATTCAAGATTTTGGAAAGCCAAAATCCTAAATTCAGAATTTTGGCTGACGTTGATATTTTGAACAGCCAAAATCCTGAATGGAAGATTTTGCTAGACCAAAATCCTGAATTTAAGATATGGCTGAGTTCAAGATTTTAAAGAGCGAAAATTCAGATTTCAAGATTTTTGTTGACTTCAAAATTTTGGTAATCTAAGATTCTGAATTCAAGATTTCGGAAAGCCAAAATACCGAATTTAAGATTTTGGGTTTCTTCAAGATTTTGGTAAGGCAAATTCCTGAATTCAAGATTTTGGCTGACTTTAAGATTTTGGTAAGATAAAATCCTGAATTCAAGATTTTGGAAAGAAAAAATCTTGAGTTCAGGAGTTTGGCTTTCCAAAATCTTGCAGTCGGGCAAAATCCTGTATTCAAGATTTGCGAAAGCGAAAATCCTGAGATCAAGATTTTATATTAATTCAAGATTTTGGAAAGCCAAAACCCTGAATTTAAGATTTTGGCTGAGTTTAATATTTTAGAGAGCGTAATTTACAAGTCAATATTTTGGCTGACTTCAAGATTTTGGATTGACCAAATATAGAATTTAAGATAAGTTTTGGTAAGCTAAAATCCAGAATTCAAGATTTTGGAAAGCCAAAATCTTGAGTTCAGGAGTTTGGCTTTCCAAAATCTTTCAGTCAGGCAAAATCCTGAATTCAAGATTTCCGAAAGCGAAAATCCTGAGATCAAGATTTTATATTAATTCAAGATTTTGGAAAGCCAAAACCCTGAATTTAAGATTTGGCTGAGTTTAATATTTTAGAGAGCGTAATTTACAAGTCAATATTTTGGCTGACTTCAAGATTTTGGTAACCCAAAATCCTGAATCAAGATTTTGGAAAGAGAAAATCCTGAATTTAAGATGTTGGCTGAATTCAAGATTTTATACAGCCAAAATCCAGTATTAAAGGTTTTGGCTTACTTCAAGATTTTGGAGAGCCAAAATACTGATTTCAACATTTTTGCTGACTTCAAGATTTTGGAGAGCCGAAATCTTGAATTCAAGATTTTGGCTGACTTTAATATTTTGGAGAGCGAAAATTTTAAATTCAAAATTTTGGCTGACTTCAGCATTTTGGATAGCCAAAATGATGAATTTAAGATTTAGGCTAACTTCAATATTTCATTAAGGAAAAATCCTGAAACTGTGAAAGGTTTGAACCCAGGAATCATTTCAAAAGGTTGAGTTTGATCGTCCGGGTGATCACACAAAGTCCGTGTTGTAATTGTTCTTACAGTTCTTCTTGTTCTTCTTGTTAAGATAATCAGTCTCGTCTTGTAGGCTGTCAGGTAAGTCGCAAACTAGTTGCGCTCGTCTCGTCAGAGTCCGGATAGTAGTAGCTTTGTGAGAGGTCGGGTTGTACGAAGACTGGTCTAGTAATCGGTCGGTATGTGTCGGTTTTCTGTAAATAGTCGTTTTAGTTACAGCACGGACTTTGTTAGACGGAACACTCACAGTAACACTGATTCCAACTCTCAGACCAACTCTGGCCCTGTTACTACAGCGACTATACCGTACATCAGAGGCACCTCTGAGACTATTGCACGTATATTACAACCTTACAATATACGTGTTGCGCACAAACCGATAACCACTTTACGGCGACTGCTTACTAATGTCAAGGACAAGACAAACCGGAGGACAGACAGGGAGTAGTATACAAGATCAAATGCCGCGACTGCCAGGCTTCTTACATTGGCGAAACCGGCAGAAACCTAAGCACGCGACTGACCGAGCACAAACGCGCGACGAGGAATGGTGACGCCAACAATCACATTGCTAGGCACCATTTAAAGACGAAACATCAAATTGACTGGGACTCTGCGACATGTATAACGTATTCTATAGACTACTATCAACGTCGTACTTTAGAAAGCTGGTTTACTAACTTAAAACAAACGCCACTGAATCGTAGCCAACAGTTACCAGCGCCGTACAAACGACTTATTGACGAGATCAAGCAAAACTAACTACGAGAGAACAACTGGAGAACTGACAATTTGACTAACAATAGACGACTGTTTAACTGTGAAAATAGACGGATTGAAACGCACCAATCACTGATTACGAGTGTTCATAGCCAATAACATCACGGCTTAACTGACAGACGACCAATAAGATCGCGACATAATTGACCAATCAGATCAATAACCAGAGTATAATACCATCAACTGGCGTGATACAACTCACTTTGACTCTGAAGATGACTACCGCACAGGTTGTCGAAACGTCAGTCACTGTCAACAACAACAGTCCTATTCAGGACTACGTTCACCCGGACGATCAAACTCAACCTTTTGAAAAAATCCTGAATTCAAGATTCTGGCTGACTTGAAAAGTTTGGTAAGCCCAAATCCTGAATTCAAGATTTTGGCCATCTTCAAGATTTTGGTAAGTGGAATCCTGAATTCAAGATTTTGGAAAGATAAAATCCTGAATTTGACAGTTTGGCTGACTTCAAGATTATGGTAAGCCAGAATCCTCAATTTAAGATTTTGGGTAAATGTTGGAAAGAAAAAATCCTGAATTTAAGATGTTGGCTGATTTCAAGATTTTGGTAAGCCAAACTCCTGAATTCAGTATTTTGGCTAAATTCAAGTTTTGAAAATCGAAACCCTTAATTCAAGATCGATGTTGACTGGTTTATATATTTTGGAGAGCAAAAATTAACAATTCAACATTTAGTAAGCGAAAATCCTGAATTTAAGATTTTATGTAAATTCAATATTTTGGAAAGAAAATATCCCGAATTTAACATGTTGGCTAATTTCAAGAGTTTTGATAGCCAAAATCCGAAATTCAAGATTTTGGAAAGCCCAAATTCTGAATTCAAGATTTTGGCTTACTTCAAGATTTTGGTAAGCCAAACTCCTGAATTCAGTATTTTGGCTAAATTCAAGTTTTGGAAATCGAAACCCTTAATTTAAGATGTTGGCTGGTTATATATTTTGGAGAGCAAAATTAAGAATTCAACATTTTTGCTGACTTCAAAATTTCAGTAATCCAAGATTCTGAGTTGAAGAGTTTTGGTAAGCCAAAATCCTGAATTGAAGATTCTGGCCGTCTTTAAGATTTTGGTAAGTCAAAATTCTGAATTCAAGATTTTGAAAACACAAAGCCCTGAATTCAAGATTGTTGCTGACTTCAAGATTATGGCAAGCCAGAATCCTAAATTTAAGATTTTGGGTAAATGTTGGAAAGAAAAAATCCTGAATTTAAGATGTTGGCTGATTTCAAGATTTTGGTAAGCAGTAATCCTGAAGTGAAGATTTTGGCTGACTTAATATTTTGGAGGGCAAAAATCCTGAGTTCAAGATTTTGGCTGACTTTAAGTTTTGAAGACCCAACATCCTGAATTCAACATTTTGGCTGACTTGAAGATTTTGGGAAGCCAAAATCCTGAGTTGTAGATTTTGGAAAGCCAAAATCTTGAAGTCAAGAATTTGGTAAGCCAACACCCTGAATTCAACATCTTGACTGACTTCATCAGTTTGGTAAGTCAAAAACCTGAATTGAAGATTTTGGCAAAATTCAAGATTTTAGTAAGCCAAAATCCTGAATTCAAGATTTTGGACAGCCAAATTGCTGAATTCAACTTTTTGGCTGACTTCGAGATTTTAGCGAGCCAATATCCATAATTTAAGAACGAATTACGCTAAGCATTGAGCAAAATTCGAAATAGTCAAACAAAACCTTCCCTTATACTTACAATACTAACAAAAACCTGCACTGGGCATTGGGGGGGGGGGGGGGAGTTGGGCCAAAAAGTTGTTTTTGGTGGACGGCTTTTCCTTCTTAAAATGTGGGTTTTTTGTGGTAAATTTTGAAAAAAACAAAACAGTACCCCATCAGTAGCCATTAATTACACCAAAAACGTGGCATGTGGTTGGGGGGGGGTGGGGGAGTTTGGGCCAAAAATTGCATTTTCTGGGACAGTTTTTCTCCTTGAAAATTGGAGTTTTGTTAGGTAATATTTCAGAAAGCAGACTAAGAGTTAAAAATCTGTTTACGTGATAGCAAAATACCATCCTTCCTCTCAATAAAAATGTTATCAATTTTTATTCAGCCCCCCGCTCCTGACGGCCCCTGTTCATTGTCATTTACAAGAGGGGGAAACGTGTTTTGAGGAGGCTTAAAAATAGACAATTTTGAACCCCTTTTTTTCTTACTAGCACTCCGATTTAGATCAAAATTGAAACAGGATGTAAATATTTCAACCTTTGTGAACCATTTCATGCTTAAAAATCCGCGGGCACTCGATACATTTTTGCATGCCTATCAAATGAAAATGTATACCTGGGACAAAATAGTAAATTTTGGCAACTTTTGTTCGCCGCTATCTTTCTTTTAAATAATGTCATTGGGCGAGGTTAAGCAAGAACGTTGGATGGTTCCTATAGATTGCATTCCTTTACGTTTTACAGTCAGTTATCGAGCAGATTAACGATTTTTGGCTTACAAAAAAAAAAGTATCGCGTGGTTGGCTGCTAATTTATGCAAATTACTACCCGCGATATAATTGGCAGAAAAATCTATAATTCGACGTTTTCCAGCAAAGTAAATCGCTTCGTTGCGATTATTAATAGATAACACGCTTGGAAATTTTGACCTAAAATTCGGCCAACTTTTCGCGGCCGCGCGGAGGATTGGGTCCATGTGAATCAAAAAAAAAAAATGGCGGCTCAAAGGGAACCTGACCAAGTGGAAATTATTAGTGGCATTAAAGGAGCATTAAATCGCCAGAAGTCGAATTTTTCCCGGCGGTTTTCAAATGTACATAAGCTGAGAGATCTAGATCAAACTTTTCAAGCGCTAGGGAAAGTGGCCGAGGCTGTTGTGAAGGGAAAATACGGTCCCCTTCGGGATCGATATCAGCATGAAATTTGTCCCATATCTTCCATGTTGGAGCGCACAATGATACGTGCTAAGAAAGGCATTTATCGCCGACTTAGTCCGCGGATGAGTAAAATCCATCCTTGGATGATTTGTTTTGACGTCCCGATGCCACAGGAAGTGTTCAATTTACTGAATAAAGGGGTTGTAAATCTTACACGTTTTGGTGTAGATGTTTTGGAGCAGCCTTATTCAGTCACAATAACATTCTCAAGTATGAGAAGACTGTGTGCCCTATTTAACAAATTTGAGGACTGC